GTTTTTATTCCATCTTTTCATTGTTCAGGAAAAGAAATTAATAAATATAAATCTATCCAGACACATGGAGCCCATGGATAGAGTGAATTTGTGGTTGATGAGAAGTGTAAATATAAGTGTAAAAAGTGTAAATATATACCATTCTGACATCCTATTGGATTGAACTCACTCCATCACACTTGTGTAGTAGTTTTCCTTCACTGATACGTCTAGAATTTCTCCCATAGACGAGGATTTCTTTGGGAGAATTTTCGTCCAATCAGAGAACAGAACGTTGATTTTCTGCTCAGTGTCTGCTTGTAGTTTATTTTACCTGGACCAATCAGAGAACAGAAGGTCTGCGCAGTGTCTGCTAGTTATTTTATCAATGGCAGTGGAGGGAGTGAATGAAGCCAGTCTGTGTTGATGAGGCTTCCAAATTAAATTAAATTTGTCTGACAAAGCAGCAGCAGCTCTCATTTAGTCGTCTCGTTCGGCTCGGTACATTTCTTCTCTCAGCAGGGTTTTTTACAGCACGCGCAATTTCTTGTTAGCTTCTTAGCCTAGCCTCTTTCATATGGCAAGCTGTTGGGGCCATAAATCGGGCGTATATTTACGTGCAAATCCTAACGCGCGGTGCCGTAAATAACGTGCGAAGGCACGGTGGCGTTTTCTACCCAAACCCTAAACCTAACCCATCACGCGTTCACGCTTTATTTACGGCGTTCGCGCGTTATTTACGGCACCAGGCGTTGCGTCACCGCGCGTTCGCACGTTATTTACGGCACCACGCGTTAGGATTTGCACGTAAATATACGCCCGATTTATGGCCCCAGAGGCCAACCATACTTTCACAGCGACATACGTCGTGGCCAACCAATCCAATCATTTTAAACTTCAGCAGAGGCCACGCCTTCAACAAGAATTGCTTCTTTATAGCMGAGAGGCCGGACCCTCGTATGAAGCAAAGTGAAGGAAAAGGATCTGATTTTTACCAGGCTAAGTCTAGTCAGTTAATTCAAAAATTTTCAACATTTTAACATTATACTCATTGACTTTAGAAGAAAAATTGTGTGTGGAAGTGGGGGGTTGCTATAAACCCTGTGGTACAGCCTAAGATTTGATCTTTAATGGCCATTTTTTTATAGTGTTCATTATATTTACTTTTATACTTTAAGTAGTTTTAAAACCAGTACTTTTATACTTTTGAGTAAAAAGCTCGAGTTTATACTTCTACTTCCAAAAAAGTATTTTTAAACCCTAGTATCTATACTTCTAAAGCAATGAATGAGAATATTTGACACCTCTGATAGTTACTGTTCGGCTTCCCCACACAGCTCCTTTAAAATGAGTTGAACCATTTTATGTAGATTAATTACAAATTTCTGCTTCTCTTGTTGAATTTGAGTTTATTCGTAGTAAAACTTATGTTTTGGTGTGTTGTTTGCCATTATTGAGTAAAAATCGAGCAGCTCTGAAAAACAAATCTAAAAATCCCACGACCTCTCCTGCAGACCGGTCCTTTCACCCCCACTCCCAACAGTGTAAACCAAGACTTGTTTACTTTAAACCAAATATAACTCTTTTTTTAAATACAGAATGATAAATGAGAGTCAAAGCTACAGGAGGTGAAACTGGTTAAATATTTGTTTTAAAAAAGGAGACTACACATGTAAAATGCTGTATAAAAACTTTTAATAGTCCATAAAATATTTAGATAAATATGTACAAATTGACAACATATAGATAAAAAAAAAAACATCCTGAAGCAGGCACAGTTATCACCTTTGAAAAGGTTGAGCCTTTTGCAAGATTGGAGTATAAAATCTGAAAATACACGCAAAAAAGTGCCACTTTTGTAAATATACATATGTAAAAAAAAAAAAAAACGAGTTTCTAGCTTAGTTTGACCCGAGATGAGGGGGAAAGGCAGGCTCAGGGCCTACCGCCGATCCGCTCTGCTCCACAGCTCCTAACTGTAACAGACTCTTTTTTAAAGTTTAAAAACTAATAAAAAGACGAGGCTGCACACGAAGAGGAACGTGAGATTCCTGATCTCAGGTTTCCGGGTGGTGGAATGCAGGTGCACATTCCTCACCGAGGGTCCACACAAGTGGGAGGGGGGGTGGGACACAATGTGCCCACTGTGGAGCCACAAATATGGCACTTATTCCAAGTAAATGCAAAAAGAAAAAAAAAAAAAAGCCGTGTCCCTCGTCTTTCATCATGTGTTGTGTTATTAAAAACCTCCTCAGGTCTGAGTTATGACACAGGTGCCAAACCTGTCATTGAGATGTTTTTATAGCAGCAAACCTCACAACACGCAGAGAAAAGCTTTCGTTTGAAGCCCCAGTATTTCCTATGAATCGTCAACATGTCAGGTACAAACACTCGGACTCCACAGAGTTAAAAACATAAAACATCCTGACCCGTCCGGTACAAACAAACACTCATTCAGGTCGTTCTGTTCAGACGTTCCTGTCGCTTTGAAGCTCCTAAACCAGAGAAGCCGGCCCTCAATCTGCCACTCATGGAGAGCGTCCAAACTCTCACTCATGACATCACTCAGTCCAGTCAGGAAATGTCCAWATAAGGACGTAGTTTGGTCTCCGTCACTCGAGTYTTGCGGTCATTCCCTCCCTCCCTTTTGATCCGTCCTTCCACAAGTTCTTCCACCCTCCAAAGGTGCCGTCGTCAACCTCGCTCCCAACAAAGTTCAGCTCCAGCAGTCGGAGGCGGAGCCTTTCCTGGTCAGGGCTTTGAGCGGGCTCCGGGATGCGGAAGTCCGTCGCTTCCAGCGAACTGCGGAGGAAAGTCACCGTCAGTCACGACTCAGAAGAGCGAGCGCGCCCTCATTGGCTGCGCCGAAACCTCACCTTTGCCCAGACCGGCCGGCAGCGTGGAGCTCTTGGCGACSGTGGGCGAGCCGCGCGGCTCGTCCGCCCGCCGACCCTCGCCCAGCGTGGCGCTCTGCAGGTCGCTCAGCGCCCGCTGGAAGGAGAGCGCCAGGCAGGCCGTCAGGTCGCGGGCGCGCTCCGCCCGGCTGCACCAGAACACGCGGCAGCGCAGCTCCTGGCCCTGGTGCTTGCAGATGTACAGGAAGACGTTGGGCCGGCTGGGGTCGGCGGCGCAGTACGCGATGTCCTGCAGGAAGGTCTTGGTCAGCTGCCGCCCCGTGCTCAGCTCCTTCACCTCCACGTAGCGCGGGCGCACCACCAGMGCGTGCTCCTTGCCCAGCTTCTTGTTGGCGCGGTCGCCCAGCAGGTGCGTGATGGCRTCGTCGGCCTGCCCCCGCTCCAGGGAGAAGATCTTAGCCGTGCCCAGGTAGTTGACTTTGAACAGCGGGTCGCCGTGCGACAGCGACTCCGTCCGGTCGCGGCGGAAGTGGCGCCGAAAGGCGGCCGGCGAGTCCTTGAGGGTCTGCATCAGGTGGAAGCTACCGAGGGACATGGAGGGACCGGGTGTGGACGACGTCGCAGGTGAGGGGCAACTGCTCGACTCGAGCTGGTCTTTGGACCCTTTCCCTGAAGCGTGGCTGCGTCCTCCCGTTTTATCTGAAACAAGACCAGTAAGAGAGCATCGTTAGCTGACCTACTTCAATAAAAACACCAGTTCAATAAGCAAGAAGAAGCTGATGAATGCAAACTGCTTCAACTTGTTTCTGGGAATAAACCACCCAAAACCTGACACAGTTTTGACAGTTACTTCCTTGAAGAAGGTGCAAAGTCAGTACAGACTGTATGTTGGCCATGGAACAGGACGCATCTAGAGTCAAATATTTTTGCAACACTAAYGAGAAGCATTACAGATTTACAGACAGGCTGGGCTGGAAACGAGYCAAATYAAACCCAAGTAACTTCCAAAACAAAAAGATCAGGGCGTACTTTTAATTTCACAGGGTGAACCTGAAGACTTCAGAGCACCCCCTCAGTCCAGCTTATGTAACACCTATAGACGCCCATCGTCTTCATCCTCCAGCCCCCTTCCTCAGAACTGCCCCATTGTTCTCCAACTTTTATTTTCGCCAACCCAAATCTTTCTTCACAGCCATTCTTTTAAACATCCTACAGAATAAGCCTTGGGGCGGAAAAAAAAATACTGACATTTTTGAACCAGARGCCATTGTTAGTGAAACCCCTGTGCAGGAAGCAGCTCTGCATTCCCAAACTGCCCCACTCCCCCCCTCAATATTTGTCTTCACAAACAATGGCTTGCTTTTAAGACCGTCTCCTCACACACACAAACAAGAGAGAGAAAAAAACAAGATGCAAGCTGACCCCAGCCCCACAATGACCACAACACTATAGCAGCAGTGTACGGTTGCACCAGTGGGTCGAAAACATGGAAAAGTACTCGCACCACCAGTTTCTCATCAAAACAACAAAACACCTGCCTCCGTGCACAGAAATAAACATTTAAAAGTGCGTACAGTCCAAACTTTGCATACATTTAAGAAACTATTTATGGTTTGGATAAAAAAAACAGATTTGGTGCAAAATGTCTTTTTGAAGTTCCTGAAAATTGATTGGAAAACATAAAAAAGGAACAGATCAAGTAAAACAAAACAAAAGCATAGCTGCACCATAGATCATGAAATTTTCTTTTAAAATACAATTATAATAAAGATCAAATGTGCACACACAAGTTAATGTTTCTTCAATTAAAAACTTGTAATAATTTATCACCTTTTATCCCCATTAATGCTCATTAACTTTTATTAGAGAACACATCTTGTCCAAATGTTGGTAAATTCCACCTACAGAACATGCAACTCCAAAAAAATAGCATTTTTAGTTAGGCAAACATAAAAATGCACCAAGACTTTTGTTTTTGTAATCTTACTGCAAGAAATAGCAAAGAAAATAAGCCTCAAAATTCAGTTTAAAGCCAATTAATGTTGGAGTTGGTGCTTCTTTTTTAAAGCCGAATTACCTGATATAATTTACAATTACATGACAGTAACATAAAATTAAGTAATGTAACGTATAATTTAAGCAAATGCGAAATAAACTTAAAATAGCCGATATTATGACGTGAATCCGCGAAGAGCCGCGTCAAAAAACGCACTATAAAAAATAAGCTTCCGTTAAAAAAAAATTACTAATAATTGTGAGTAACAGGATCCGAGTGTTTTAAAGTTGTTTTCAGATTTAGATGAGATAACGGGAGTTTGTGCTGTAATCTTACCTGGCCACAGTTTCATGCAGACGATGATGTTCAGTCCGCTCCAGGTGAACCGTAGGAAACACGATGAACAGACGCGGGGCAGGTGCAAACCTGCTCCAACTTGTCTGGGTGTCCGCTACGAAATTTTAACCGCTAAAAACCCCGCCGAACGGCTCTTCGACGCGGCTCCTGGATATAAAAGCGCGCACAGCTCCTCGGACGACAGCGTGACAGAGAGGGAAACTCAACTAAACTGATTCACGGCTGCTCCTGTGGCTCTCCGCATGCAGCTCAGACGGCGGCTGAATCACTGAATGACTGAGCGCGTGGGGGGCGGAACGTGCGTTTTTAAAAACACAGCGCAGGCGCGAGCTCGACGCACGTGGACGAGCACTCCAGCTTTGCAGGATGTTTTATTGAAGGTGGACGATTTACAAGACAAGAGAGGGTGGATAATGATTGACCTCTTTGTTTCACTTACTGGCACTCGTGTTTCACACAGAATTAATGACACCGAGTTGGTTTCTGTGAAAATTATTATTTTCCCGGAGTGCTTCAGATGCAGGGCCGGACTTCCCAAAGGGGCTGACCAGGGCCCAGAGGGTTACTGGTCCCAAAAAATAGTATTGYTTTTAATGATTAATGGTTTGGTTTCCCAAAAGGCCACTATCCTGMATGTTTTAGAAGTTTTCCTGCTCCAACACACCTGATTTTGATCGCTGGGTGATTAACAGGCTTCTGTCCAATTCGAAGAGTTAATTCAGTCACTGAATCAGGTGTGTTGGAGCTGGAAAACCTCTAAAACATGCAGAATAGCGGCCCTCGAGGACTGGAGTTTGACACCCCTGCCTTAGGCTCTGTTTACACTTAAACAGTGTGTAAAAAAACTTTTGTGTTTTTCCCATGTTGATTGTGGAAAAAATAAACAGTGGTGGGCACAGCTAACTAAAATCTTAGCTTCACTTACTCATAAAACTAAAAATATAGCTTCTCTAATGCTAAACATCTGACACAAACCTGTTGTTAGTTTGTTATKTAGCTGTTAGCCAGCATAATGTTGGCAAAACTTAATTTGGGGAAAGCCAATTGGTCCGCTAACGGTTTTCAAAGCTATTGAAAAAAACTAACCTGCTGAATGAAAAATCAGTTCCACTGTTAGCTGATTAGCARAACCATGCCCACCMCTGGATAAAYATTTGATAGGTAAATAAAAGAGATGCCCCAAATTTGATTTTGTAGACCAATACTGATATCTCATTTTAGAATAGCTCTGACCTGCCGATACAGATTTATTTCATTGAACGCAACGTAATATGAATTCAAGATTACCTGCTGTTTTAAAACAAATACATTAAAAAAAACTGACAACATGCACTGTTATCAACTACTGGTGTGTTCATAGACCAAAAAATGTTGGATTTCTGACAGAAACTGGTAAAACAACAACTGATTTTTTGGGTTTGTTTAACCAGTCGCCAACATGAGCCACTCAAGGTACAAACTGTCTGATATTGGTTTCAGGCCAACCTAGATTTAAAAAATGGCTTTTTCCATTGTGGACTTAACACCTAAGGGTCAAAAAGGCTCAAAATTTCCACCTGATATTTTTGGCTTATTTTACCTGTAAAAAGGCCAATGATTGTCCTGTGAGTAAATAATTTTGCACCTTTTTCAATAACTAAAATTTTTAATATCTGGCAGTTGTTTAAAATTTATTGCGTATTAAAGTATATTATCAGTTTTAAACAAATAAAAACCAAAAATGAAATTATTTTTTGAGGTTTACTAAAGAAAAAAATCACAACAAATGTACATAACGAAATGATCTGACATCAAATATATGAAATTTAGACAGTATATAAACTACTTGCAGTGAAACCTTTAGTTTTTTGTAAATAAATGAAAAAAATGGTCGAAAAATGAAAAGCATACACGGTGTTTTTTCCCCCTTTCCCCACAGACTCAATCTTTGTGATACTGCCAGAAGCRGTACCTATCAAGCTGCAGACACAGGTCCTACATCACATTAGCACATTGTTCTACATCACCATGCTCATTTCAGTCCTCCATCTGAGAAGATTTGGTGAGCAGCTTCTGTCTCTCACATCCACATCATCTTCAGCATCCTCACTGCTGATCTCTCTCTGCCTCCAATTCTCTCTCTCTCCTCCCAAACTTGAAGATGGCTGGTCCTCACTACAAGATAAAATAAACTGAGTGATTTCATATTTTTTCCCCATGTTTGGTCAATAAAAGGAACATTCACTGAGTCCTGATGCATCTCAGTAATCCAGGTTAAAAAAAAAATCAAAAAAAATTGTGTAGGTCCTCTGGACGGGTTCTTCTC